TTTCTCTGTACATATATTGCACTATATATGTTGCATGCATACTAATCCTAATATAAGTGTTGGGTGCATAGTATAAGTGCAGATATACTGATAAGGCTGTGCGTGTGGGCTGTATTCACAAGAATGTATTGTGCTATATTTAAAATATATATTAAAAGGTATGTATATTAAAAGGAGTAAACAACAATTGTGGCCCCTATAAAGGGAAGGATTGCCCTCATGAGCCTGGCCCTGGCATTCTTTCCACTCCTTTTCCGTACAAAGTAATGACCTGAGTAAAATTCAATATGACCAAGAGAACTATGCAAGTGTATTATAGAAATGCAAGGGGGAGAGCCCGGGAGTGGGGTGAAACTCAGGTCAGCGCGTCTAACAAATATTAAAATGTTGGAGGCGCTCGGGACACGCCTAGCTGTTTAACAAAGACTGACAAACTATGGAGATTAATACGAAAACTTGCCGGTATCCGAATCGAAAAGGCTCAGTTAGGCCTAAGGCTGCTTGAAAGCTAGTAGCCAAATATTCTGTAAGCTTTAAAAGCTGAAAGAAAGAAAGAAAGAAAGAAAGAGAGAGAGAGAGAGAGAGAGAGAGAAAAGAAAAGAAAAGAAAAGAAAAGAAAAGAAAAGAAAAGAAAAGAAAAGAAAAGAAAGACAGACTTTCGGAGAAAATACTATCTGAGATGAAGGAGGGGAAGATATAAGCGAATGATCTACTTTTCTGGTTGGGATTAGGGTTGCATGGCACGGGGGGGGGGGGCGAATTGCGGTTGAAGTGGTTGGGATAGTCGGGTGCATTTTGTATCCTAGCTGGCGGCGAGCGCACGGATCTTTTTAACTGTGGGAAAAGGGAACGCGGGGAGTGACTTTGAGAATATTTACGAAACTTTTGAGGACTATGAAACCGGAATTTGGGGTGAAGGCGCTTAGGGATAGTTTCTGAAGCTCTTTGGATTCATGCTGGCAAAGGGTGCTATCAATCGACCCTCCTCGGAAGTCAACCTAGTTTTAGTCCGAAAGAAAACAGCCATAAGCATTGTGACGATATTTGTGCAACCCCCCCATCCCCACCCCTCTGAAAATGGAAAAGGGCACAAACGTTGTATGTTAGAGTGACATTATGTACCAAGGTCTTAAGATGCAATGTTTTGGCAGGTGCTTTTTCTATATGTTGATGAGAGAGACTTCCCTTGGAATACCCTTTTCTCACAGGATCCCGAAAAGTGAGCCCCCTTTGTAAGCAACCCTTGCCAACCATTCTCTCCCATCTATTTAATTTTATTGCATTTTGCAATAAACGTTTGCGAGGAGTTTGGGTTTTGTTTTTTTTAGCCTCATTAACTTTTCCTTTTGAAATGCAGAAGTCGCTTGACTAAATCTCTCTTTCCAAACTTCCGAAAAGTTAAGTCACTTTTATTAGAGCAATCGAAAATGCTTCCTCTCCACCACTCAATTAAGCGCAGAAGGTTAGGGGGCGGGGAGGAATTGCGAATGGGGGGGAGACGGGACGTGTTTTTTAATTATTTCGGGGTATGTGTGCTTTGGAAGAGCAAAGTGTGAACATTTCTGCTAAACGCTAGGGGTGCTGGTGACACTGGGATAACCCCCTCCCCCCATTTGTCTATTTGTACAAGGAATTTTTAAAACTTGTAAGGACATTTCTGTTTTTGGTTTTGTTTGTTTTAAAAGACAGAATTATCCTCATTTTTCGTTTCCCGGAAAGCCTGTACCTTAAAGGAAGCCCAGCTAGAATGTACATATAATGTCCCCCTCCCAAAAACAGGCAGGGGAAAAATGGAAAAGATCCAGATCAGAAGAAAAACAAGAGTTGGTGTCTGAAAGATGTAACTAGTGTGCATATTTGGTAAACTTTCTTGAAGAGAGCAGGAATTTCTTTTCAACTTTGATCACAAGAATTGAAAAAAAGCTTACACTCATTGATCTCTATTCTTATTAAATTAGCTTTGATTTTTTTTTAACTGAAGATTTGTAGCTTAGTTCTGAATGCCCTTTAATGTTCTTCTGCCAATGAGATTTGTATGCTTGGAAAGGTATGTTCCACACTATAAAGAGAAAATGATATGTTGACACTCCATTTTGGATGTAGATAGTCAATTTGGATATAGTTAAAAGAAAGTTCGGTTGAAAGTGGATTTAAAATATTTAAATATTCTTATTTATATTTAATAATTAAAATATTTTTGGAAAATTGATTATGGGAAAAAGGAAACAAGAACTCAGATGAGTTTTTTGGTTAGGAGGGTGGAGGGATATTATTTGGTAGGAAGTTGGGAGGGAGGGAAAACGGAAAATAATGGTAATAAGTTTAGTCACATTTCCTTTCAAATGTTTTGTTTTGCCTGAAATTAATACCGTATTTATTCCTGAAGTGAATACTTTTCTTTTCAAAATGCAACACATCCTACACAGTTTAGGTGAGAAAAAAATGGATTAGTCAGTGAAAATTATTTCTAAACGCATGTGAGTAGGATTGAATGTTGTGTTTACATGTTCTGCTGATAAAGAATATATCCGGAGAAGGCCAACATACAAATACTACATATTCTACCTACCTACCTACTCGTCTGTCTGTCTGTCTATGTCAGAATTCATCTACATATACTGATAATTTTATCCAGAGGAGCACACTTCAGGCTCCAGTAGTACAATCCTAAACTCAGAAGAAAATGAATAAATTGTTCTTCTGATAAATAAGTCTGATTATCAGAAAAGCTTCTGCAGTAACAGTAAAAATCCTATGACCTATTTAGGAGTAGAGAACACTGAATTAAGGCTTAGGGATAATTAGTAACACATCCTAAAACAATACTGGAGTTATTTTATCTCTTTGCCTACAGCTTTCTTCTCTTTCCTACCTACAGAAGATGAATGGTTTACCCAGGATACTTACTTTATTGTTTTATATCCCTATTTTGGTGGGAGGACTGCAATTACATTTCTTTGATCTTTTCTCTTCTTCATTTTTCTGGGATTCAAAGGAAATGCGAAGAAAAAAGAACCACGCCCTACTTCCCCCGTCTACCTCTAAATTTGTTTCCAGATTTCCCTGTCTTTTCTTCTCCACTTGTAATTTTATGCAAATTAGTTATCTAGATGCTTAAAAAATCTTTGCAATCTCTGGAAGTTATTCTTTACTACCACAAAGTCATGCAAAGGAGTGATTTTCTAATGAAAGAATAAATCTTGTTGAATTAGATTCAAAATGAATTTCTTTCTAATTAATGTTCTTTTTTAATCCTCTTTTAACCCCTGAATTTCAGATTATGTTTCTAAAGATGCATGCCCTTTTGTGATGTATGAAACTGTAATGGATTCTACTACAGATTCGGGCCAATTTGCACTATTTTACAAATGCACACAATTCCATAGTTTCTTTTAGAACAGGACCATGTTTTTCAGAATGCCAACCACTTTTGGCTGAAAACTAACATTTTTTCTCCCTTTTTGGCAAAGGAGAAGGTCTCTCTGTCTTCTGTATGTACCCTGTAGATCCGAATTTGTGTAAAAGAAGCTGTCTCACAAATTCGCATCTAGGGGAATATGTAGTTGACACAAACCCTACGGAGCGGAGCCCAGCTTTAAAGAAAGAAGAAGGAGAGAAAGAAAGGAGAATAAATCCTTAAAGACATTTGTTTCTTAAGAAGATTTTTCCTTTTTTGTGTTTGTAGCCATTGGTGCACCTTCTTCTGTGAGGTTTTACATACAAACATGTGTATACATATATACACATTTATACATTTAAATTATAAATTTATAATTTAAATTTATATAATTATATAAATAGCACCTATCACAGGTGCTTCCCCCCACTTTTTATTATCTTCTAAAGATTTTAATTTTTCTTCTATTGGATTGAAAGCTAATTGGGAAAGAAATCGTAGTAGAAAGAGATCGTAGTAGAAAGAAACTCCCTGCCCCGTGGAGTTTACAAAAGGAAGGTGGGGCAATGAGGTATAATAAAAAGGAACACTCAGGATATATGTGGGTTTGGGGTATGTTTGTCAGTACACACATAAGCATATGCGTATGTGCGTGCATGTGTGTTGTGTATAGAAACCCTGTAACCTCTTTCTATTCTTTTTAAAAAGCTGATTTCTTCGGTTAATGCCCCTCATTATCTGATGAAATTAGTCCCAATTCTCTTATGCTTAAGGTTTATACGATTTTTATCTTGTAAACATGGGAAAAAGAACCAGAAGCTTGCTGTTATTTAAAGGATGGGTAACTCGAATTGGTTAATGATGTTTCTATCGATCCCAAATAACCTCTATCTATCTTTGCCAATGGTTTGACTCGCTCACAAAATTTAAGTAGAGGCAAGAAAATGAATACCCTACAAACCCATAGACCCGCTTTTTTCACACGTTTCATATTTGGTCTCAGCAAACTTCTTTATTTGATTTTTAAAATTGATCTTAGATATTCGCTACGAAGAGACTTTGGATGTATTGAGTTTTGACAAAATATCCGCGGACAAGTCGGACAGGAATGGGAATTTAGGATTTTGTGTATTCCTGATTTTGGAGAAATTATGGAATATCCGATTTTGGTGTGTGTGAAATTAAAATATTACTATCGTTTTTAAAATATCAAAAGGAATGCAGAATACCTATTATTCGTAACCGCAATGCAGAATCTTATTTATATCCCGAATATATTTTACAGATAAAATAAATCCAACTGACTTCAAAGCAACTTGCTTTCAAGTTGAATGCGAGGTGGTAACGGAAAGGCTAAAAATGCGCCCCCACCCCTTTCTTCCTTCTAGATTATTTCCTTATCCGGGAATCCCAGGCTACCCCTCTATTGGTTCATGGGGTCACATGGACAGCTAACTTTGTTCAGTTGACGGCAAAAGTAGGAGGGCTCTGCGAAACAGGAAAACGAAAGGGGAGGGGAAGGAAGGGCGAAGGGGGAAGGGGAGGGGGGGCGAAGAAATAGGAATAAATTTTAGTATATTTTTGGGGTGTGTGTGTGTGTGTGAGTGAGCGAGAGTGTGCGTGCCGGCGCGCGCGCGCTCTTGCAATTCCAAAATTAATGGCCATGAGTTCTTTCTTGATCAACTCCAACTATGTGGACCCCAAATTCCCACCATGCGAAGAATATTCCCAGCACGATTACCTTCCCAGTCATACTCCGGAATATTTCAGCGGCCAGAGGCGACAGGAGAACTCTTTCCAACACGAGGCGTTGTACCCAGCGCGGTCCGCCTGTAACCAACCATCCTATCCTCCATGTCAGGGCTCTGGGCACCAGCCACCGGTCCTCTCCCCCAGGAGCCAACATGCTCCGGCTGGACTTCAGAACCATCTCTCCGAACCAAATCATACTTGCGAATCCATCACGCCAAGCCCACCGCCTTCCTGTAGCCAAAACTCTCTGAACCAAAGCCCTGGCAAAGAGCCGGTAGTTTATCCTTGGATGAAGAAGGTTCATGTTAGCACGGGTAAGTGAACCTTAAAGAGCTGTTCGCTTTATACTAACCTGCACCTCAAAGTCTCGTTGGGAAGAGAGGGAAAAAAGGCTTATTGCCCCGTTGTAAAAGAACCATTCCCCTTGGAGATTTATGGTCTCCCTGTTTGCAGAGCGCTATAATTACATCCTCCATAAATTTTTATTGCTCTTCTTGGCCAACTGCCTTTGAAGTCCCTGTTAACATCCTTTTCCAGAATCTCTTTCTTCCTTTTCTTTCCCTTTCTTTCCTTCCCTTTCTTTTCCTTTTTACCCTTCCCTTTCTTTTACTTTCTTCCTTTTCTTTCCCTTCCTTTCCAATCCTTTTTCCTTTCCTTCTTTCCTTTCCACTGGAAAAAAAATTGATGTGTGGGATTTTTAAAAGCTCAATTTGTATGTTTCTTTTTTGAATCCCTCTCTTGAAAAGCCACTCTCTTGACGGTTTTTCGCAACCTGTTTTCATAGCATTGAAGGTGGCTATATAGTGGAATTAGAGAAAAGACGATTTAATATGAAAGAGTGTGTTACATGCCAGCAGAAACTTTATAGAACTTTGGGGTGCACACTTAACTTTTCGGTACACGTGGATGAATATTACTTTGCTCTGGGGCACTTAAATTGCTGCCTCTGAGCTTATTGATGTCTGTTCACTGTGAGTGTTTTGGAGGTACTTATGCTGGTTATCAGTCCAATAAGACGAGATTTAACTGCACTCTACATTTCACTCCTATCATTAATGGATTCGTTATGAGATAGTCAACTCATGTAAATAGGGGCCTCTTTCTCTGATTTCTGCTTATAATTGCTGATAAATTTAAAAGTGGCCTGCTATCCATAATTTAAAGAAGAGAGTTTGCTGCCACTCTTTCTCAGCAGTGATACCAACACTCTAACAATAGTAAGTTAATGGATTTATTATAGATTAACTTTAAAGCCTTGTTGTTTAACTGCTTTGAAGAACTCAGCTACCCTCCTTTAGGGTGGGAATGAAGTTTTTTTAATGCAGGATATATAAATTTTAAGGCTGTGCAAGGCTGTAGAAAGATGGAAAGTTCGAGTCCTTATTAAAGGCATTGAACTTCAGGAAGATGATTATGGTGATGATGGAACAGATATTCTACTTCAAATTTTCCTATTAAGCCTGTTTCATTTTTAAAACACTGTGATCCATTCTCTGCACCCACCCCCACACACGGATGTATTTCTGCAATCCTATCCTGGGTGGATTTATTCAAAAGTAAACTGTACTAAATGCAATGGGATATGTTTGGTGGGCCGATAGAAATATGAGTCTGGAATACCATCCTAGATATGTCAGAATGGCTCCGAAAGAAAGAAGGAAGGAAGGAAGGAAGGAAGGAAGGAAGGAAGGAAGGAAGGAAGGAAGGAAGGAAGGAAGGAATGAATCAAAATCTTGAGCAGATTTGGGGCGGGGGACCTGTGGTTTGCGATTTGTTTTTGTGGTCTGCTTGACTATCACTTGCAAAAGACTGAGGCCAGTGAAGACCGTTCTTGCTTTGTTTTAAAGAGGCAGAAGAGTAACCTTCACACTCCCCCATTCCGCCCTTGTTCTTTTCTCCTCCCTCCTCCCCGCTTCTTTTGTGCCTCTTCTTCCAGTCAACCCCAACTACACCGGAGGGGAGCCCAAGCGCTCCAGGACAGCCTACACGCGGCAGCAAGTGCTGGAGCTGGAGAAAGAATTTCACTACAATCGCTACCTCACCCGGAGGCGAAGGGTGGAAATCGCTCATTCCCTTTGCCTGTCCGAGCGTCAGATCAAGATATGGTTTCAAAACCGGAGGATGAAATGGAAAAAAGACCACAAATTACCCAATACTAAGATCCGATCAAATTCTGCTGCCAACCTGCCAATGCCAGGCGGAGCAGGCGGGCCTCAGGACCGAACCAATGGGCCAACCCCGAAACCCACCCCCAATCTATAACGTCCTTGAGTGCAACCTGAGAGTGTGTATGTGTGTGTGTGTGGGGGGGTGAACACACTTCTGCCTGCACGTTCGTGTGTGTGTGTGTGTGTGTGTGTGTGTGCGCGCGCGCGCGCGCGCGCGCGCTGTGGGGGCGGGGTGTATATGAATGTGTGTGCTAAGAAGTGATTATGGAACGGAAGGTCGCTTTGTGGCTTTACTGTTCCCTAAGAAGAAAGATGGGGGCCATTGAGGATAGGGAGGGAGGTGGGTGGGATCACTATTTATATGAGGAAGAGGAAACAAAGGAATAGGGGGGGTGGTTTCTCACTGGCCGGGTTGTGTTTGGGGGTAGTTTCTCTGTTCTACTGTATAGGAGGTAGGGGTTTCCAGATTTGGCTAAGATGGATCCCTTCTTCATCCTTAATCAAGCCAAACTCGGACCCATTTGTCATGTTTACTCTCCCGTACAAACGAAGGACCTTATGCCAGCCATTAGCTCGACAGCCAGAGTCATCTTTAATAAATGAGGCTTGGTTTCACCTAAGGAGGACTGGACTCTCTCCCTCTTCATCTTCCTTTCCTTCTGTCTCTTCTTTCGCATCCCATCCTTATTGCACCCTCTGCTCCCCCCCCCCATTATCCATCCTCACCTACCACACAACCCATCCATGGGCTGATCAGGACTACCAAAAGATGTTTTAATGCAGTTATGGATGGACGGATGATTAGAATTGGGGACGGGGAGGGGGGTAGGGGATATGAGAGTGACATTTCCCAAAACCTTCTAAGGATGTAATTGGCTGGTGAATATGGTAAGGAAAGGGCCCAAAAGGAACAAACAAAACGAGAAGAGCAACAAAAAATGGGGACGGAGTCTTGAAATAATAAAGCCATTAAAATGGGGGCTTCTTTGGGTTAATTACATAACATGGGAAACATGGGAAGCCAAGAGTGCTGTGCATTTCAGTCCATAAAGTTGATTATAAGGCCATCTGTGTTCCAGTAGCCATTAAAATGGGAAGGGGGGCCCTTATACATAAGAGCGCCCCTCTGGTGTGTTTATACCCTATTTTGGACCAAATAATGTATGCATAAAATGGGACTTCAGGGAATTCCCCTGGGAAGTTAGGGGGTGAAGGGAAGATATATATATATGACCTCTGTACCTTCCCTGCATCCTTTTTTCACAGGCACAAATCCTTTCTTCCTTTCCTTTCCCTCTAAGACATTCCAAAATGAGGTGATGCCAGAGAACTCTGAGGAGGGAGAGAAGACGCCTCCCTCTTTTGCTTTTGTATAATTACTTCTTGCTGTTTTGTGTGATATCCATGCAAACATGTATATAGAATACCACAAAATAAAACATTTTATTGTGAACATGACTCTCTGTGTTTTAAGAATCTGTTAATAGCAGCTAGAATGCTGACAGGCTTCCTTTGTTGTGATCGTTCACCTCCCCTCTCCATGTAATCCCACCACTTTTAGGTTGTAGCAGGTTTTAACTGTCAATTTTTAAACCTAAACTTCTCTGGCAAATGAAAAATTCTTGACCATAGACTATACTTTCCTTTACTACAGCTCAGGCTTAGAAAGAATGATTTATTTTGTAAGTATGCATAAGGGTGATTACATTTTGCTTTTTAAACTGGTTCAAAAAATACCATAGCATTAGATTTCTACCTGATAACTGATACTAAGAGGGCAGACTTACATTCGCCATGAAGTTTATCCCTTCCCCCTCTTTTTTTTGTAAAAAAGCTACCTTCTTTAAGGTATTTACTGCATTTTATGATCATAATTTTTGCACAGATGTTTCTTGGTGTTTGCAGGTTTTTCTGTGTATTTTTTATATTACAAAGGAGCCAGCCACTGCAATAGCTCAAACTCTGACAAGCAAATAGATAATCAAGAAGACAAATGACTTCTTTTGTGCTCCATAGCTCTTGTATTAATTTTCATTTTCTTTCCCATATAAAGTATCGAAAATACTGTTTAGGATGAAATAGCATTCCACTTCCAAGTTACAAACTCTGTGTGAGTGTCTGTGTTTATGTGGGTGGATATGTATGGTGATACAAGCTAGTGTAAAGAAAAAAAGAGGGAGGGAGGGAGGAATTATACCATTAATGTAGGTCCTAATTTATTTGATCATGTAGGTAGAATTCATCCAGAAGTTCTCTACCAGAAGACCTGTAAAAATGAAGGTCACATTCATTTTAATGGAGTTTGTGCAAGAGAAATTCCACTTGCTTTCTACCCTGAGAAATGCCTCAGAGAAAGTAATTTCCATGGGAGAGTTAACTATTCTATAACCTTCCTTTAGGATATATTTTTTTATCCATTATTCAAACTGAGTGTTATTTTACTGTTTTATTGTATTATCAAAACATGCATCTCAGTAGGATTTATTCACAGTCCACATGTCTATTTTTAATTTAATTTTAATAGGTTGGATCCAAACTTGGTCATGCTTAGAGCAGACCAACTGAAACCGATGAGACTTAAACAACTCCTAACAAGCAGATCCCATTAGTTTCACAGGATCTACTATAATTGTATTGCCCACCCTTCATGTGACAGATAGACAAATAAATACATATCATATCAAAGTTGAAGCAAAAATTTCTGACCTCATGAGAATCTAGTTATATTTAAAGTCATTTAATTCTATGATAGCTAAGTTAATAATTGCAAACCTAAGTCTTATTGATTTTGGTGAGAGTACTTTAAATCAAATTAAGAATGGGTCAAGCCATACCCTCAATTAATCCTTTACTAAGATATTTGAGATTGCTAAACACTGTGCACTGTCCAGTTAACCCACTGCTTTTTAATAGAACTACAACTAAAAAACAGCTATGATGCTGTGAATCATGTACACCACCCAGGATGACTCTGTGTGTGAGATGGAGAGTTTCTAAATCTTATATATATATATATATATATATATATA